ACCATGAATGACCAATGAAGGATTGTTGTGTATATCCGAACGAGTGATGTCCGCATTAGGAGGGATATTTATAGGCCATGGGGTACCTTGAGAGTGCGGAGATGCTCAAGGTATCCAATGAGCATATTCCGTCTTGCTTCACCTCCTTGTGCCAAGTGTCCAACGACGGTTTCTTCAGGTGGAACCGGTCATAACCACCTTAGGACACTGATGACTACCAGCTGGTAAAAAACTGGGTGATTAAGCTAGCTGCTGGTTTGGTCGAACCAGGGGTTCGGCCGAACCCTGGCCTGGCCCAAACAACCCACAACTCAGCAGGTGCACTCCTCATTGATTCCTTAGCCCAGTAGTATAGTGGTTGGGCCCAATTAATATTATTTCAATGGGTTTAGAGGCCCATCCACCCGTAAGTCTGCCTGTCGACAGATTTTGATTAATTGTTCTTTGATGTTCCGTCGATTCTCCTCCATTTATGAATGGCTTTCCTGTATATATGTTAGTACCATAGCACATAGTGTAAGTAGATATTTTATTTGAAAATTATGCATTGCAAGCATAGCTAGTATTCATTAATTGTGTAATATTGACAGTCAAAATTGGTCGATAACGACTGTCAACAACGACGACTTGGGAGCTTGGGAGATCTGCTCAGCTCCTATGCAAGTCAAAGGCCTGCCTAGTGCACTTGTAGGGCGTGCAAGCTAGTTTGATCCTGCAACCACAAGAAACAAGGAGTCACACTACAACAAAACCTGCCTATTGCATCACAAACTTGCAACACAACCAGATACATGTTACAGCGAAAAGATCAGTAACACCAAACCATGTCTTACAAGGTCACTTGTAACACGTAATTAGTGGGTGTGCAGAACTAGATGCTCTAACACAAGCATGCAACACATAAGCTGTCACTCTGCAACACAAAATGACAATTACAATTTACAAACCACGTCTAAATCTATGATTGCTTGGACAGAAGAAAACATTATTAACATTATGGATTCTTTTTAGAGTACCTCAACTTTATTTTGGATCATCCATTGATTAGGAATTGATCCAATAGCTGATACTCCTCGATTCTAATATTCTATTAGAGGTATGAACATAATAATAAAATAGATAATATTTTTTATGTCATTAAAAGCCACTTTGTTAACAAGGTAAGTAATTAATAATATAAGTTAACATGCTATATTATATAATTTTATAAATTCGAATTATGCCATACAAAATTTATATATGTAAAATTTTATTGACCATTTTATTTGAGACCTATTTAAATTCCATGTTAATAACCTACATAAGAAATTTTAAATTTGACTGCAGAATATCAACACCCCATAGGTTTTTTTAATATTACAACAGATATTTGCAGTTTCCAGGATATTTGAGTAATTTAATTTTGAAACATATATATAAAAAATGAAACTTCTGCATCTTTAAATTGGTTTTATGAAAAACTGAACTGAATTAACAATGCATTAAATTGTTGCTCTGTTAGTTGAAGACCATGAAAGCCTACACATCTCCTGAACAAGGACGAAGAGTCCCATTTGACTGTGGTAGACTGCATGCTTTCTTAGCCAGTGTATTTCACACGCATGCAAAGATCATTAGCATCTCAAAACGACGATCTGAAAAACTAAAAAAATATATGCATTGGTTTACTACGAGTAAATTCTACAATCAGGAAAACCACAACATTGCGTTAGATAAGATTAAACAAATGCTTCCATGACAAAGATCAGCCCTTCAAAATAAAGCCAAATAAGTGATATTCCCCGGGTTTCTCAATTAGAAAATAATGCTCTAGTACAAGATTTTTCTGAGGAGAAAATTAAACATGCGATTTTTAAAATGGAACATAATAAAGCTCCGGGTCTGAATGAATTTCCAGCTGAGTTTTATCAGGTTTTCTGGAATGTTATTAAGCCTGATTTGATTGATTTATTTAATGATTTTCATAGTGGTAATTTACCTCTTTACTCTCTTAACTTTGTTACTATTATTTTACTGCCCAAGTGTAAAGAGGCTTTGAAAATTCAACAGTATAGGCATATTTGTTTACTTAATGTCAGTTTCAAAAATTTTACTAAAGTTGCTACAAATAGAATTTCTGGAGTGGCTCAAAAGGTTATTAGTCCCACACAGACGGCTTTTGTACCTGGGAGAAATATTATGGAGGGTGTTATTATTCTTCATGAAACGATACATGAATTGCACCAAAAAAAAAAAGAGTGGTGTACTCTTTAAGATTGATTTTGAGAAAGCCTATGACAAAGTAAAATGGTCTTTTGTTCAACCAACTTTGAGAATAAAGGGTTTCTCAATAAAATGGTGTGATTCGATTGCGTCTTTTATCCAAGGTGGACATGTTGGCATTAAAGTGAATGACCAAGTGGGATCAAATTTCCAAATATATAAGGGTTTAAGGCAAGGGGACCCGTTATCTCCAATTCTTTTTAATATAGTTGTTGATATGCTACCTATGCTACCCGTTATCAAATTTCTGGAGTGGTCCAACATCTGGTCGATGATGGTTTATCTATCTTACAATATGCTGATGATACTATCAATTTTTTTAGAGCATGATTTACAAAAAGCTAAAATAATGAAATTGATCTTAACTGCTTTTGAAAAATTATCTGGCCTGAAGATAAATTTTCACAAGAGTAAATTATTTTGCTTTGGCCAAGCAGAGGAATGTCATGAGCAATATTCAAATTTTTTTGGTTGCAAACTAGGAGATTTTCCTGTTAGATATCTTGGCATCCCTATGCATTTTAAAAAGCTTACTAATAAAGATTGGTTAACAATTACCCCGCAAAAAAATATTGGTTAACAATTGAACAAAGAATTGAGAAAAAAAACTTAGTAGTTGGAACGGAAAGCATATGTCTGTAGGTGGGAGATTGGTTTTGATTAACTCTGTGTTATCAAGCTTAGTTATGTTTATGATTTTATTTTTTAAGATTCCTAAGGGGGTTCTTCGAAAAATAGATTATTATAGATCCTGTTTCTTTTGGCAAGATGATGAAAGATTGACAAGATGGGATATTATTTGCCAGCCTAAAGATCAAGGGGGACTTGGTGTTCATAATTTAGAAATCCAAAACCAGTGTTTACTAAGTAAGTGGTTGTTTAAATTAATAAATGAACAAAGCGTGTGGCAGGATCTTTTGAAAAGAAAATATCTTGGTACTAAATCTATAACTCAAGTTGAGAGGAAACAAGGGGATTCCTATTTTTGGTCAGGATTGATGAAAGTTAAAAATTATTTTCTAAATATGGGTTCCTGGTTTATTAACAATGGAGAACAAGTTAGATTCTGGGAGGATAAGTGGTTAGGTAATTCATCTTTAAAGGATAAATACCCATCATTATATTCCATAGTTTGAAGGAAAAACTCCTCAGTTGCAAGTTTTATGAGCATTGTTCCACTTAATGTCTCTTTTACAAGAGCATTAGTGGGTCAGAACTTGACTAGATGTCACAATTTGTGTGCTTCAATTGTGCATGTTAACTTAATAAAGGAGGATGATATATTTAGATGGAATCTTCATCAAAGTGGCAAATTTTCAGTTCGATCTATGTATTTGGCTCTAATTAATAATGGGTATATCGAGAGAAATAAGTTTATTTGGAAACTTACGATGCCGCTTAAGATTAAGATTTTTATGTGGTATCTCCTTTAAGGGGATTGTTTTACCAAAAGATAATTTGGCTACGAGGAATTGGCATGGTAGTTTGAGATGTTGTTTTTGTATGAAAAATGAATCGATTTACCATCTTTTCCTGGATTGCCATTTTGCCAGATTTCTTTCGAGATCTATACAATTCGCGTTTGGATTATATCCTCCACATAGTATATCTCATATGTTTGGGAATTGGCTTGTGGGTCTTAATAAAAAGATGGCAAAATTTGCTACAGGACACCCGAAAATCGTGTAATTGGATGTGAGACACCGCAAAATCTTGGCTTTGCCTACGGACACTACGAAAGTTGTGAAATTGGCTGTGAGACACCGAAGACAATATTTCATAATTTCCGAGACAAAAAAAAAGGTCGGATAATTTTCTAAAAGACCAATCTACCCCTGCGCAATTTGGCATGCCACGGCATGCAGGCATGGCGTGTGCGCGCCGCACACAGACGCGAATAGGGCCGTGCCTAGCGCGTTCCTGACGGGATCAAGCGAGCAGGACATTCCGCATATAGAGAAAATCTCTCGCTCGTCTTCTCCGCCTGCGCCATTACTGCCTTTGGCTGCTTCTTCCTCCTCGATCCTGCACGGAGACGATGCACCTGCTGTTATAATCCACTCAGATGCTAATTGATCTATGGCACCAGGAAATATTTGTCACCAAAGGACAACTTAATTAGTTGATTAACTGACGGCTGTGCAGAGAACGTGTCCTATAGCAAATTTTGCCTAAAAAGATCAAGGAACTTATTCTTGTTCGAGATTCCGCTGTATGTTGAGCTCTCTGGCTTAGTAGAAATAAAATTGTTTTCGATAGATCACCTTCAAAATCTTATTTGCAGGTTCTTTTCAGGGCAACATATTGGCTCCGGGAATGGGCTCAACTGCAAAGGCATGATGATCATATCAAGATAATAAAAGATGCGTGTCCTAAAAGTCGACGATCATGCAGCTCTTTGCCAACTTCGGGTGGAGATTCTCCAATAGAATTCAGTAGTTGTGGGGTCTTTACCTTGCTTGGTGTTTATTAGTTTGCTTTTACTTTTGATTTTCTTACTTTTACTACATACTCACTGTGTGAGTTTGCTTTTGTGTGAACTTTATAATAATTGGTTGTAGCTCTTGAGCAAAGGCCGGAATGCTTCATTCCATTATCTAAAAAAAATATCAGCCCTTCAATTCATTAGCACAGCCGCACAGGATGTCAGCAAATGATCTACAGAATTACAAGTTAAACCCAACAACCACTCAAGATACACTAGGTGACATGAAGCAATTGTGCACGCTAGATATTTTGGACCAAATTTATGTTAAAAAAGAACCTGACTATCCTGGTTGACCATGGACCAAAGATAGAATGTAATGCTACATTCAAAGTTCAATATTCACATAGTTCAGTCCAAACTTAAATTAAATAAGGGCACATCCCCAATAATAAAGCTTTAGACTAGTTTGCAAAACAGAATTCTCTAGTTAAAATTCAACATGGAGAGCATGTTCTGATCTGCAGAAAGAAGAAACCAACTCCAAGGCCTAATAAGCAGCCAGCCTTTCATCATTGCGGCCAGGATCACAGAAGATGCTTCTGAGTAATCAATTAATTAGGACAGCAGAGGAAACATCATAGGTAAAGAAAAGAAAATAAATCTGAAAGCAATAGGTCATACTTTGTTTGACTTCTCTTTCAGATTAGGTGTTCTGAACCAAGTGGTAGACGATTAAGCGGCTCAAAGACTTGCACCTCGTAGCCGATCAGGATTCACAAACAAGATTCAAAAGAAAAATGTGCTTCCGTGAAAGTTAGCACCTGTACAAGTGTGGTTCCATGTTCATTTGTATGTGCAAAACTAATTATGTTTTATCAAAGCATATACAGTGCAGCCATTGAAAATGCAAAGGGCAATCCCCAACCATGATACTGTACAAATTAATCTATAACATGAGATAAATGTATTTCTAATCAGAGTTGTTCCAACAAAAACGAAGAGAAATCCATGACTTGTAGCTAAATGGACTACATGATGGACGCACTAACAGCAATGGTGTGAACAGAAAGCAGTCAAAACGCAGAGTTGTTTATTTGCAACTAGAAAGGTTTTCTGCTGGATTATTTGAGGGGTTGAAATAAGTAAAAAAACATTGTAGATGCAGACTTGATCTCTGTAAAGAAAATGGATGTCAAATGGTGTTTTCATCTTACATTAATTGTGGGCAAGTTTTTATTCAACTTTGTTTTATCCCCCCATCTGACCAGCTTGGATCGTTGTGGTTAAAATATATACCACGAGTTAATAGGCAAGATTAACCATATGGAAGAAAGAAACAACCACACACGAACATCACAGTGCTTTCATGTCATACGCCATATTCACATATCAGCCACGGATTCAGTAATGAACAGAAATATCAGCCATGGGTTCAGTAAAGAACAGAATAGATGAAGGAAGCAAGGAGATCAAGGAAGTGGAGCCGTACTGACCATCTTGGGGGTGAGGGAGGGGGAACCGTTGAGGTCGACGTGAACGCCGAACGCGGCAGCCATGTCGGAGCACGTTCAGGTGCTGCGCTTAAGGGTATCCATAGGCGCCGCAGAGCTCCTGAGGATACAGCCCCGGCGGCAGCGGCGGGGGAACACACAGGCGGCGTGCCCGGGGGCATGGCTAGCGCGCGCGCACGCGGGCCTCCGCCTCCTCAATAGCGTTAAAACCAATCGGGTCACTAATCCCGACAATTAGCGTTAATCATGGTGATTAGTGAAAATGCTACGGTAATTTCGCAATAAAAAAAGAAAACAATTGATTTTGAAACTTTTCAAAATACGGTTTGAAAGTTTTTCGAAATATTGATTTGAAAGTTTTCAAATCCGAGTTACAAGTTTTTGTATTTTGAGTTCAAAGTTTTTGTATTTTGAGTTGAAAGTTTTCCAATTCGAGTTGAAAGTTTTCAAATCTCAGTTGAAAGTTTCAAATTTCAGTTGAAAGTTTTTAAAATTTAAGATGAAAAGTTGAAAGTTTTCAAAATTTCACTTCGAAAATTTCAAATTTTGAGTTGAAAGTTTTCAAATTTTGAGTTGAAAATTTTCAAATCTGAGTTGAATGTTTCAAATTTCATTTCAAAGTTTTTGAAAGTTGAGTTGAAAAAAGGAAAAAAACCGTGGCTGTAAAAAAAAGGAAAAAAAAAGAAAGAAACACATGTGGGCTTTTGGTAGTGTACATGGGCTTCCGTGGCCTTTTGGCGCCGCGTACACGCCAATTAGCATTCTCGGGAGCCAAGAGCCCAGGAAGGAGAAGGATTTGGAGCTGCCGCGCTAGGAGCCTGGGGGGTTGTTGGTAAGGAAGAAGATTTGGGTATTTGTGGGGAGGATTTGGCGCCTAGTGTCTGGTGAGGTCGAGATTTGGCGCCATAACCGGAGATTTGGCGCAAGATATTTGGCGCCTTGAGAAAATATTAGGTTTTAAGTCAAAAGGATAAAAGCTTGGTGCTTCGGCATGAGATATTTGGCGCCTTAGAAAAGATTTTGTTTTAAGTCAAAAGGAGAAAAGATTGTCGCTTCGTTTTCCAGAATAGATAGAAGCTGGAAAATAAATAAGTGGATCGCATTTTTAGGATTGTAAAATAAAGGTTTAGTAACTACTAAAAACAATTTTTCATTGCGCCACCCTATAATTTTCGTTGTCGGTTGTACGTGAAAATCACCAACAAAAACGTAAGGATGGATGGGGGGGCTACGGACTGTCAGCGAAAACTGATTTTCGATGGCGACCACGCTAAGAGATTCGCTATAAAAAAACTCTATTTTTCGAGGCGGACCTCGTAAGTGTCCACTAGCGTTTTCACTGGCTATACGTAAAGAGGACCACTGCAAAAAAAAATTAAGGCGAATAAAATCCACTGCATGCCCCAATCGCCTCCCTCAGTCTCTCCGCCACTCTCCCTTCTCCCTCGCATCTCTCCTTTTCCCTCCCTTCTCTACCGCCGCCACCTGCCGTCGCCACCCCACTGCCGCCTCATCGGCCAACAGGGAGGGCCTCGGGAGCGGATGCGGCTGCGGCAGGCCTTGGGAGGGCGGATCCGCCACTGCCATGCCTCGGGAGCGGCCCGGGAAAGAGGACGGCGGCGGCTCTATGCGTCAGCGGCGCAGGAGAGGGGGCGGCGGGGAGCAGATCCAATGCCTCCTACTCCCTCTCCACCGGTGGTGGCAGCAAAGAAGAGGGATGGTGGCTTTGCGCAGGCTACGACGGTGCTCGGGAGGATGGGGGTGCTCGGGAGAGGCGGATCCAGCGTCGACAGGCCTCGGGAGGGCGGATCCGACGCCGCCATGCCTCGGGAGCGACGCGGGGAATAGGGTGGCGGTGGCAGCGGCGGCTCTACGCGTCAGTGACGCAGGGGAGGGGGCGGCGGGGAGCAGATCCGATGCCTCCTCCTCCCTCTCCACCGGTGGTGGCAGCAAAGAAGAGGGATGGCAGCTTTGCGCAGGCGACGACAGTGCTCGGGATGACGGGGGTGCTCAGGAGAGGCGAATCCGGCATGGACGGGCCTCGGGAGGGTGGATCTAGCGCCGGCAGGCCTCGAAAGGGCGGATCAGCCACCTTCAGCCCTTGGCAGCGGCGCGAGGAAGTGGGCAGCGGCAGGGGCGGCTCTCGGCATCAGCGGCGCGGGGGAGAGGATGACCTTGGGGGAACCATACTGGTATGGGGGTGGATAGACATACCAATTATTATAGATTGTGTTTCAATGCTAGTGTTATCAAAGACACAATGTGGTTATCTAAGACATGGAGTAGTCAAAGTGGGAGCCCTTCTATAAGTTCGGGCGGTGCTAGTTACATATGAGGATGGGACTCGGGCCCCTCGAGAGCGCAAGAAACAAGCAAACGAACAAAGTCACAATGTCGCTGTCCAACAAATAGAGTTGTCGATATGGGACCCCTTCTATGAGTTTGGTTGGGGAGCTAGTCACATGTGCGGAGGGGACTCGGGCCCCTCAAGAGCGCAAGAAACAGACAAACGAACAAAGTCGATATACAGGTTTGGACCACCCGGAGGTATAACACCCTACTCATAGTACAAGCTTATCGACTACTCAGAATACACGTGGGCGACGAGCCGGATGAGGGGGCACATGGTATTTTCCTGGTGTGCGTCGTCAGCTCTAGGACATCGATTTGTGGTTCACAACAGTATTGTTCAATCGGCAGGCGGCGGGTGGCGTCTCTCATCGATGGATGGAAAGGGGACACTGGTGAGCGGCGGAGCTGCGGAGGCGGCTTAGGGTGGCGAGTGGTGAGTGGCGGAGGCTTCCCTCGTCGCCGATGAGATTAAGTGGGCAGCGCCGTCGATCGCTCAGGATCCTGCCATTCCTTGTCGCTCTCCACCTCCAATTCACTGCTTGCGGAGCCTAGCCCGCCTCTGCATCGCCAGCCGCGCGGCCATGGAGGAGGCTGTGGAGGAACCGCCTCCGCTACTTGTTGCCCCCAACCGCATGCCCCCCACTGCTCGCTGCTCCTAGCTACTCATCTCCTCTACCCCGTCGCTCACCGCTCGCGCTCCCTGCCAATTTGGAAGAGAAGAGAGAGGGAGAAGAGAGAGGTGTTAGGGAGAGAATATGACATGTAGGTCGCACCGTTTTTAATAAAAATGCTGAATGGACTATCACGTAGCATCAAAACCACTACGGATTGAGTTAGGAGGGTAATTTGTCCGTTATTAATACTTGAGGGTGAAAGATATTTGGTTTTCGGGTCTAAGAGGTAATTCATACTCAGCCAATAGTTCAGAAGAGTAATTCGGACCTTTTCGTTTTTATTATAATCTTATTGCTTGGAATAATCTTACTAGTACTAATATATAATTATAGTAACAGTTGCCCCTCAAAGTCATTAAGAAAATCAAACGTTTATTTTTTTTCGATAGTAGTAGTACACATGTGGTGTTTTTTTTCATGTAAGTAGTGTCAAACATTTTTGCGGGTTTGTAGAAAATTTTGTGGCACCTACCGTAAAATATTCCCTCCAAATACCCCCAAATTAAAGACCTCATAAATCAAACCAGTCGTCGGTCTTCTAGATAAGATTGGAATATCTTCTCAACTTTTCCCCTCCCACTTCCCACGGGACTTCTCGCCTCCTGCCCGAGGTCTCCCTATCCATGACCATGCTGCCGCCGCACCGGTGAGAAGCAGGCAAGCAACCACCGTTCTTCCTCCTCATCCTTCTGATTTCATTGCATTTTCCCCTTCCGAATCTCTTGATGCCAGTGTATTTTCTTTATGAATTTACTGAGGGTTCACAAATTTATTATAGTTGGGCATCCATATCAGTGAGTTAAAAAGGCGTGCTCGCATGTGTGTTAGTGTAGTTTGTATGCATCTTCCAATGTAATTGAGAAAAGAAAACTCTAACTCATGCAACCCATTGGTTGGCAACTCTAATGACACTCGAATTGTCATGACCATATAAGTTGGTCACTCTGGTGTGAAATATGGAATTCTATCTATAAATAATAATTAACAAAGTGTAACTTACACGAACTCTTCTTTCACTCTACTATATAATGCGCTATAATATAGATATAAATTTGGAATCAATAAATATGGAGTTATACCTATGTTGGATTCTCACAACCAACTTATTCGGCAGAAAAAAATCCACAATATCAATAGTAATAGCCCGTGCATCGCATGGGTTGGCGGCTAGTGCAAGTAATGTTCTACTCTTTTCCATACCCTAAGCTCCACATAAACCTTATTAGATGGTAGGAAAAGAAAAGGCACAATCATATACCTTTGCGAGGAATCATACATCTTGAGTGATCAATAAAATCAACTGAGGAGCAAAACTAAGTTATAGTTTTGTGTTACTTGAAAAACCCCAAGCTATTCGTCATGAAAAGAGGGTGACTTGAGTCAAAGATTGTTCCATTTCTCAATTGCACAAGTTCGCATGGTAGACACTACAAAGACCAATAAGTACTGGTATGACTTTGAATAATTTGTTTGCATGATTATTAGTAAGGAAGTCATAACCTTATTGTGGAGTCCATAGCCTTCACTCGGGACAAGCAAAGGTTAATTGTGCGTGTGTTGTTGACGGTCCTTAAATCATAATATATGACCGTCAATACCTACATAATACATAGATAATAAAGCATACGACATAGTGGTAGCATTTAATTCTAATATATTCCACGAGTGTTGGTGTATATTTGGGTGCATGTAATAAACTACCAAAGTTGGGAGGAAATCCAGACTAAAGTGAAGAAGAATTACATCCATATAAGAGTTGGGCTCCTAACCTCATCGAAACACCAGAACTTGGGCCCAACTACCAAAGAAGTGCATAAGGGAGAGCGCAGAGGAGGCCCAGACCAAGTCTGGGGATAAGATCGGCCAGCCAGGGTTCAGCCGAACCCTGATCGTGTCCGTTGATTCTCTCTTTTCACATGGATGCTCCGAATGATGCCTCAATGACGATTGGAGGGCAATTCAGACATTTCCCATTGCCCAACCGTCATTACCTGCCTATAAATAGACCCCCTCTCCCTCACTTCACTACACACAACTTTGAACTGAATTATAAGAGGCTCTATTGTATCTTTTGTAAATTAGAAAATAGGTAGCGAATGTGGGGAAGCTCTGGAGGAGTGCCCAGAAGTTTGACGGTCTCCGACAACTAG